TGGGTATAGGTCCTGCGATTCCGAAAGCGCAAAGAATACCTGGGAAGCGGCAGAATCGATTCCGGAACCGGATGGAGTCCGGGTTTGATCCAGTTCCGGAATCGGATGGAGTTCGGGTTTGATCCAGTTCCGGAATCGGTGAAATTGATTCCTGGGGCGGAACTGATTCCGAAATGTTCAACATCGCTCAATAGGATGTGTTGTCGTGGTTTCTCAATAGATATTTACAAAACCTGGCGCCGGGACCATTAATCTCGCTGAACGTCAACCACAAATAAGTTAACTTCGACAAAGAGAAAAAAGAATCATTTATTGAATAATCATATAGAAAACGTTGATTAAATATAGAATCTGCGGTTTTGTTGCTTAGTTGTATTAAGAACATCTATGGCATCGGCTTCGACATAACTGCTGTATGTATATAAAGCGACGAAGGCAGAATACGTACGCAATCACTCGCATAGTATAGGCACAAATTGACCCTCCATGGAAACGGACATGTATTCACGTCTATACGGAGTTGATGCCTACTATTTGTTCGTTTATTGATAAAATGAATAGTTCGATCATTACAATCGACTAGTAACACCACTGTATCACCCTTTTCCATATCACTTGTGTAGCCATCCAAGCCAATATATTTAACACCATTGCAATACACAGAATTTCGGCCCGCCCAACCATAAGCTGTTGGTGCTTTATACGGTTTTGATTGCATTGATGCACCATTGGACACGATTCCGAAGAAAACCCATGATTTGTCTTTTTCGGAGCCGCTTAAATTTTCAATTTTAAAGCGAAGTTGATGACATCCCACTGAGTATTCATTCCGAGTGCGAATCACTCCGGCTGGAGGAAGAAAGCCTTGTTCGATGACTTGTCCATTATCTTTGATTTGAATATTACCAAACGACTGCTCGAAAATGTCATTTGATACTTCACTTATTACAATCTGGGTAATGTACAGGATGACAAAGGTGAATATGATTTAGCTTTGATGAATTATGAAAAAGCATTGAAAATCCAATTAAAAGCTCTTCCACTCGATCACCCTGATATCGCC